ACGTCGTTCAGTTACGCGTATTTTTTTCACGCAACTGTCTAGACAAATACAATACAGTTTTTCTAACAAAAGTAAAAACTTATTCGATAATGGACTTTTATATCTATTAGTAAATATCATTACTTTAAACAAAATACGATCTTCGATTTATCTGTTACCAAAAAAATACAAGGACTTTTACTTCGACAATAATATCTAAAGTAGCGCGACGTTATCAATTTTTAAGCTATTGAACTTATGGAAACACCATTTTATTTTTTGTCTTATCAGTTACTCTATGCGTACATGTAGCAACGGTTAGATCTTTCAAAATGTTTCTACGGATCTATTCTAACGCTACCATGGACATACTTCAAAAAACTTAGCGGATATAAACAATTCTGACGAACAAGTACGAGAATACGTAATTTTACAGGTTACTGTCAGAAGTGGAGGTTTCTGGAGGTCCTCCGTAGCCAAATACAACGACGACAGCTCGACAACATGGCCTGGGAGTTCGGAGGTCTGTTTACACGAGTTCGCAAATATAGCCATAGGTATCGGAGCCAACCGAAGCGAAGAATTGATAAATTAGTTATTCCGTCAGTCGCCCGCCGCTGTTTCTCTAGGTACGTTTGATCTGAGGTTTCGAATAATCATGCGTATTTATATTGGGTACCTTTGGAGGTTTCCCGACATCCTGTTACATGGATCCGTCGAACCGCTCTCTAGTTGTCTCTGCCAAACAGCTCCAATGCCATTGAAAATACAACCCTTTCGATATACAGTGAATGAAAAAATTATTTACATACTCAAGACTGGCAAAATAAATACGTAGAATAAAGCAGAGAGTATTCTATGCTAAAAAAGGCACTATTCAAAAGTTCAGTGCAGTCGAAGATAAGGAAACAGACATCACTTCGTCGCATCATTTGAGTGTTCAGAGTTCAATCATAATATTCGTAATACGTCTCAGCAAATTAATCGGTAATAAATTGAAAGATTATTAGATTCCTTAATGATTATAGTGTGAAGTAGATTAATGTAAATTACAATATGGATTACTATAAAATTGAAAAGTTCCGAGATGGAGGATAAATTACCCCTTACAGAAATTTCGTCTCCGTTATTTATAGCTTGTTGGAGATTATAATAGGTTGTATATTGCTCGAATTAATTTGGAAAAGCTTTAATGGAAGCCGTAGCCGGCTCATTTATCATCGGATAACAGTTCCGGAGTACATCCTTTGAATGTAACTCTACCCGTGGGCAAACAGGACTAAGGGTTATGACCATTCCCGTTTGTCTTTGCATCCGGAATCTTCGCACGAAATCCCTCACCAGGACCCAATTAACTCTCTAAGAATTCGATCCTATCCCATGGTAATACCCAAGATAGTACGACTCGGAAGGCAGATTAGAAAAGACAATATTTACCTCCGTGCTTCTGAGTCTAATCGCGTATCGCCTCCCAGATGTGCCTTCACTTAATATCAGTTACTATTTGTCCTTCGCTAGAATTGAATAGGGGAGCCCGTTGAAATCCCGAAAGTTCCGTAACGATAGCCTTCAGCGACAGCGAACAGAAATTTATGTTACAATTTTTTCTTCCTTCCTTCACTATTAATTTCTTCAATATCTTTATAGATATTACATAAAAATCGATACATTCAAAACAAGTACTTTTTATACTGTTCAAACATGTATTTTAAATCGGAAAGATAATTCTACTACTAAAACTACTTAATCCGCTTTTGTAGAAAACGTAAATTGTAATGTTCTTACAAACATTTCGTCCATCATAATTTCAGTTCGATATTACGAAAACTTCTCAATTCCTTTTCTAAAATCACAGTTCTAAGATAAGACCACCAATAGATACATAGGTGCTATTCATTCCACATAATGTCCTGATGCTCGCGTCGAAGACTACAATCGTAGCCATCGGGATGCTTACTTACACGAAATGCAGGTCCAAGGATCTAACCTGACCGCAAGCTCGTATCTGCAGGGACGACAGTTTGAATTGAAGATTTTTGCGGACGGTAACTCGTTGGCTCACGCGCTAACGTATTTGCAAGATCCGCTGCGCTGATGGACATATAATGCGACGTGTGATTGTAGGCCCGCCAATCGCGGCCGATTGTGCCTCTGAAGGCCCGCTAACTATCTCAAACTAGCCCCATTCAAGCCGCCACGACCTCTCTCTATCCGTCTCTATCCACCGCCATGCCTCTACGCCTCGCTCGTTTCAGCCCTCCGCGCCTCATTCACCGTCACCCCCGACAGCCGTACGTCTCGCTCATCCCTAAACTTTCCTCTCCCTCGCTCTCGACCCGTTCGCTCCAACTTCACCAGCGATTTTTCTCTCTCCCCCTCCCCGGAACCTTGCGTGCTCTCTCCCTCTCACCCTAGTCGTTCTAACTGTATTTCTTGCCGCACGTTCCTTTCCCGCATCCTACTCTAATTTTCGACCGGCTCTTTCGCCGCTCGCGTAATCCTCTATTTTATTCGCTTCACCCCTTTCTAAACCCCGATACTTCTCTCCCCTCTCCACTCCTATACTGCCAGCACTATTTTTCCTGATTTTTTCTCTTCATCGTGTACGCGAATGTTTTTGTTACCCATTTAACCGTTCTTCATCGCGGCTGGTCCCATTCACCGTCCCGGCGCGTTTCGCTGTTCGAGGTTTTCGCGATTCCTTTCTTTAAACACTCTTTAACGGAATCGTCTACGTGAAACGCTCGCATCTTCTCCGCGGATTCCCAGACTTTTATACGTTGTTCGACCTCCCTCTCTGGTTCCTGCCGTCGTTCCTCTGTTTGCAAATTCATGCATTTCCGCAGCGCTGTCGACTATTTTCTTCCCTGAGCAGCCAACCACCGGCTGCTCCGACCCCCTTCCCCGTCGTTACTGCTCTTCACCCTTTCGAACTCATCTTTCTCTCTTCCCATCCGGTCGACCTCCCTTTCTCTGTTTCCTACGTCCGCTCTTCTTAAACTCGTTCCCGACCGCTCCCACCCCTGCATGTATGGTGTCTTCTTCCTATCTCCGTTCTTCGTTCGACGAACGAGATCCTCCTCTTCCTTCGTGCCTCTCGCCCACCCCCTATCGTCACTCCGTTGTCCCGATTCGCCATCTCTGTTCGCCGCCCGCATTTGACACAATCACGCGCGGTTACATAGGTGTACCGTTTCCATCCAGTCCGAGCGTCACCGGTATGTTCGTCCCGATTCGAATTCTCGGCCCTATATAACCGGCTCACGTTCTACGTGGGAATTTCAAATCTATCACCGACCCAGACGAATGCAAATCGCGCATGAAGCGCGCTTAATAAAGCCCCGCACGCGGCCCGCAACTCGCAATTTTCTTTCCGACGCTACGTGTCGTGCGAGCGCGCGCGCCTGTTCGCCACCTCGCTCCACTTAATGAAACCTTCGCATGCACCTCGCGCGACCCGCGTCTCTACGCCATTGAGCAAGCTTCGGTCTGTGAAATCGAAGGAAAAATCGACTGTCTTGATAGGAGATTGTTAACACGTTTGATACCGATAACGCGTACTGTTTGAAAGAAGAAAGGGAAACCTTATACGCTTTTATGTTTAACCTTCAGCCATCGAACTTGTACTTCGAGACATATTACAGTAACGTTAGAAATTTTAATTATAATTTCAACGGAATGTCCAGTAAATTTTCAAAATACTAGTCTTTATTTCGGACATTGTATCGCAATGGACAAATTCTCTTTCAGTAGATTGCAATGTGTCCAGCGTTTAAACGTAAGAAGAATGTATACTAGGAAACAAAGAAAGTCTGTATTCCCTTGAAGTTTTGCTACTCGTTTCAAGAGCAACTCCTACAAGTGACTCTCGGACTATTTGAACCCCCACGGAAGGATCTACTCGAAATCTCGAGTGAACGTTCAACTGTCGGTAGCACCCGATGATGCGAGGAAAATGGTCCATCGCCGTCGTCTTAAGCGTTTGATGAATACTCAAGGTAAGCAGCGTCGCCGCGTTGTAACTCCGTTGGGAAAATTTATCCCTGTAAGTCGGGAAAATTACACGCAACACGGTGGTTAATGCCAGCGCGGAATGAGACACAAGCTACGCCAAGCGTAGGAAAGTGTATAAGGGAATCAGTAGACGACAAGGATGGGTTTTGGCGTTTCTATCAGCCGGCTGGTCCCCGGGTTGCTTCTCGCGCCGAGTTCTCTAACTGAGTTTGTTCGGTTTTCAAGCTTTGGTGATTCTCGACGGTGTCCGTGGTGCGGAAGGCGAGAGCGGGTCGTGGTGGAAAGAGAGAAGAAGGGCGAGAGACCGGGCGGAGAAAGAGTAAACGCGAGACAGAGAGAGGGTTAGAGTACATCGAGGAACCAAGGCCCCGGGATATTAGCCGGCTTGTTAAGGGAAAGCCAACGCCGTCAAACGTCCTTATTAAGGCCACGCAAATAGCTAGTACGCTTCTCCTCGCTTACCTCTTGACTTGGCTCCCTGGAAATTCAATTTTCGCCTGCCCGAAATGCGGTCGGTCAAAAGCGCCGCCCTCAGGTTCGATATTGTTCACGCCGAGGATCTTCGGATCGGTCCATACGCTTCGACAGTTTTTGCGCTGACGCCGCCACGACCTGTCCGAACGCAATTCGCTGGCTCGCTGAATCCCCTGACTAAACCCGAGCAGCACGTAACAATTCTAATGAAAATAGAAACCCCCTACAGGTCCTGTGAACGTGTCCGAGTTATAATAAAGATTAGAGCTGCCTTATCCTATAGCGACTTTAAGTGCAATGCGAAGGACCTACAAAAGCTGGATTAGCGGACATATTTATTAGAATCGGAGAGAAAAACGTGATACTGATGTAATAAGACATAAAAATAAAAAGGAAACAATCTTGTGAGTTGTAGTTCTGTTACTTCCGGAATTGCGAAATAGAATCAGAATTTGGGCGTTTCAAATGTTTAAGGCTTATTGAATAATCAAGGAATTATTTGTGAAATTTTATAAAAAAATTTATTTCTTCTACAATATAAAACAGTATGTAAATTGCACTAGTAATTGCATTTGTGCACGTAAGTGTACAAAGATGTGATTTGCTGTTTCTAGATCGGTCCTTAAAACTGTTGGTGACAAGAGGATAACTTCTATTGCCTGTTAAGGCATTTAGTTCGATGTAAGGTACAGTGACATAGGTAATACGTAAAGTTCTCCGGCTTATCGGCTTTGAAATCTTTAGTAGAATCGTGGATGCAAATATTGAAACATTTGTGTCATCAACGAAGTAAAAGTGTTCCAGCACCGTTGCTTTGAATGTATGATGAATATTTAACATCAGCGCTATGTTGTGATTCCATTGGGGAAATTTTGACTTCTCTACAAATAAAAGAAATATGAGTCTTTCAAATTTTAAAAAGCATTTTAAACATTGAAAGATTTACCCGTTTCTTTTTCAAATCCGCTAACAAGAGGTTGGCGGTAGCCTGGAAATCAGTAGGTGGAACAATGTGTTCAATATTAATGTTACTAAGAAGCGTTGGCTTTGGCAGCAATCTGAAACATGGAAAAGGTTAAAATATTTTTCTTTTTTCTTATTACCCAAATAATATTATTCTCTTACGAATGTATTACTGGTGACAGCAATTTCCTATCAATGGTAGAAGGATCTATCGGACCAGTCCACCAACTGATGAAGTTACCAACGATGATTACGATTATTGCCCCGAGACCGGTAATCCAGTGATACGACAACCGATAAAGGGGAAATACTTCATCTTCACTGAAAAACGGAATACAGAATATCATATTTACATATTATACATACTAATCTATAATTTTCGTACATTAAACAATGTTTGCAATATATTTTAAAAAAGTACACCCTGCACAAAATTACATTCTTGAGTATAACTTGTTCTTGAATCGCCGATGCTAATAACCACTCAAGATCAAATCGATTGTGAAAGACTTAATGATTACAGTCGAGACTTAGATTCACTCACTCCGGATGCTCGAACTGCATTAAGAAACTTTTCGAGATATTGGCCGGGCAATGGGAGAGAGGCACAGGAAGTTTCTTAGCGACCAGTTGCCCAGTACCGATAGACCAGTTTGCACCGAAACTCGCCCAACCAGCTACCACAAAACCTACAATGGCGCCCATGAATGCGCCCTGATTAATAAACAAAGGTTTATTAAAATACATTCCTTTATTCGTCCATCTATCTTAAGAATAGTTACAATAAAGGAAGTTAATAAAAATATAAAAGGATGAGAAACGATATCTGAAGATTATTAGTAATGTATATTTATAACTGATAAAAAAATACAGGATATGAAATGAACAAGAAAATGTAGCATATAGATGAGAGACTCACCTTAGAGTTCGTCCATGGAAAGAGGATACCCAACGTGAATACCCCAAACGAAGTACCCGCCGCTATCGCTGCGAGACTTCCCGTTATCTACAACGAAACAGTGCAACTGGAAACTGTTAAACGGTGTACTGCCCAAAAAGATAAGTTAAGAAAGCTACTCACGGCTAAAATACCACCCAGTTTCTCCACCAGAAATAACAAGCCCAGAGCAATCGAACCAAGGAGAACGACCAGCATCTTCACGAAGATGAACGAACATCGGTCGCTCAGTTGCAGTCCGAAACAACCCTTTATGAAGTCTTCCAAAACGACGACGGAAGTTGAATTGAAGCCCACGGAAAGGGTGCTACAGTTATATCAATATTTATACAATTATATATTAATGAAAACAATGCAAATAGGTGATTAAAACATTTCTAATATACAGAATTTTAAGAGCAAAGGTTGTAAGATTGTAGGAATCATAATACTCAGCAAGAGAAGTAAAAAGTGCTTAATCAACTGAAATAAATCCTATTGATGCAAAACATAAAAACCTGTATTCACATTTGTAAAGAATACTCCGTATGCTTTTTTCAATTCTAAATGACTCACTTGTTGACAACTATGATCTCCTATAACCTTAAGCCTTTTCTTAATGTTATTTTTAACTTTCATCACTTATTTTATGAAACCTGAAAGTTGATAATGTATTAAAGCGACAGACTGCAGTATAAACATATTACAGTGCAAGCTTATGGAACGCTTGCCTGAGTGCAGCGCCAAAAATGGCGGCAATAAAAAGGCCAGGTATTCCGTGCAAATGGCCTGCAATTTCCATGACGTAAGCCGGAAATAGTTGATCGTCGGCGGTGATCAAACCAATAGCTCTGGGATCACATTTTGGTGGAGACCACCACGCTATCAGAACAAGACCGCACCAACAACACAGCGATATGAACAACATAATGCTGATAGTAAATATCGCCAAAGATCTGAAATCATAAAAGACAACGCCACATTGCGCATCATCTATCCATGTGAGATTAATTCCGAAGCTACGGTATATCAATAGCTGCAAACATCTTGTTTACCGCAAATATTTTATTAACGTACCGACTCACCCCTAAGTCAACCGGATACGAAATTAATAATTCGATTACAGCGCGCTGATATTTATTGGTGTACTCACTTACAGTTTGGACGTTGCCAAATCTTTCAGTGATCTGTAACGCTGTACCATGGTCTGATTCACAGCTATGTATGCGGTGCTGTAGAGCCACGAGCCGATCAACACAGTCCACACCGTATGTCTCGTGAACGGGGATGGGTCGAAGCTAAATGAAAAATAATATAGCAATAGATTACAAACACAGTACAGATTTGAAGAAATGTAAAGTTCCAAACTTTTTATAGAAAAAGAGCATTATAACAAATTTGAATAAGATTTCTTAGTTACTTGGGATGCGATAATGCTGATAAAATTGGCAAAGCCAGTTCACTGATTTAACATCAATCAGTCCTTACTTCAGAAACTCTATTCTATTGGCATTTAATGCTTCCTTCCATATCTCCGCTGCACCGAGATGATATGTGCCCAACACGGTAACAGTTACAACACCAACGATCATGACCCCAACTTGCAGAGCATCCGTCCATACTACTGCTCTGATGCCACCCTACCAATCATAGTGCGCCACAATTAACATTCAATGCTCTCCAAACCTCTGTATGTACAATTACAAATGATTTTTATGTATACACTAACGCGCAAGCGGGAACTTAAATCAATCTCTGTAAGCGCACCTTGCGTCGCGAGGGGACGAGAAGAAGATGCGTCTCCGTTTCCGGTCAGCTAACCGTCGACGGGATCGTTAAGTGGGAATGGCAGCCGGGCGAAGGGACCGGTTAGCTCCGGCGATAATAAACAAAATTTCCAAAGAGTCACCGGGCCGCGATAAATTTTCATTAATTCGGGGTGTACAACAAATTGCTTGAATAATTACAGGCGCGCGGGCACGCGATTAATCACTTCGGCGCTGGCTTTGTGATCCGGCGCTACAGGGAACGAGCACTCGACGTGCTCCGCGCCATTGTTTCCGGCGGGCCATTGTCGGGCTCTCAGTTTCCGTCCATAAACATTTCCAGTAGCCGGGTCCGCGCGAGAGATTCTTCGCGGCATTGTCCACCGAAAATTGTTTCCTACGTTGCGCGCGCCCGGCCCGAGGAACTCGAGCAATCCCGCGGGAGAATTCCGCGACACGAGGGCCCCCTTTCGAAAATTAGCTTGCACACACACCTAACTGCCGACTTCCAACCCCTCAGACCTCCCCATTCCCCGCTTTCCGTACGTTTCATCGTTGATACGTCTTGTTAACTCCTTGAGCGCCGACAATGAATCCGCATCGTCACGATCGCTAAACGCATACGTTCGCGACAACACGCGTTAAACGACGCCCTCCAATGTTGTCCGATCATCGCTATGATTACCACACACCGGTCGTCGCGTTTCTCGGGTCATCCATCTTGATCCCTGTGGATCCGCTGTGGTGCAGCGTTCATTTCTTCAGTAGCTCCTTTTTTAAGTAACCGAAGCT